TGCTCCTTTGAGCTGTTAGCTACCATGATGCTCCTTTTAGCTGTTAGATACCATGGTGCACCTTTTGGCTGTTAGCTACCATGGTGCTCCTTTTAGCTGTTAGCTACCATACCATACCATTTTATTTATAGAGCACTTAAAACAGCGACAAGGCCAACCAAAGTGCTGTACAGGCAGACAAACAGACAACACACGAAGTAAAATACAAAATGAAGTAAATCAAAAATATAGACATAAAATCGATGCAGATAATAAATATGACGACAAACCAGTGTGGAGCGTACAGGTTCAAAACACAGATCATCTGGTGTTGAAAGCCACCGAATAGTAGTGGGTTTTTAAACGGGATTTGAAAACCGAGAGGGAGGGGGCCTGTATAACAAGCAGAGGTAACTCATTCCAAAGTCTTGGTCCTGCTACAGAGAAGGCCCTGTCCCCTCTGCGCTTAAGACGAGTTCCTGGGACTGTGAGGAGCAACTGGTCCGCTGACCTCAGGGAACGTGGTGGGACATACAGTTGTAGCAGATCAGAGAGATGGGGGGGGGGCAAAACTGTGCAGCGATTTGTAGACATACAGGAGTATTTTGGTGCTCCTTTTAGCTGTTAGCTACGATGCTCCTTTTAGCTGTTTTTCATTCAACCTTTATTTATACCGGTTAGTCTCATTGAGCCTCGAGGACTCATTTACAAGAGAGACCTGTTTTAACAAACAACACAGATGAGGTACAGACAACTAACTTTATAGTTGGTTCAATATTTTAAAAAGTTTGAGCGTTTCAAAAACCAAAGGTCCCAGCACCCATCTCCTGAACGAGGTGAACTTTATGACATACGAACGGCTAAAACAGCGTGTGGATTATGGAAGTCGTCTTATTGAAAAAAACTAAGTTCATAATCATAAAAATCAGGACAACAACAGTGTGAGTGTTGAATCAGCCTTATGTCAGTGCGAATAAAGAAATGATCTAAAAGCTATCAGTGAAGAAATGTAGTCTTTAAATTTAAAACAATAAATTGCAGCTAGAACGTCACTTTTTTTTAACCATTTTATCCCATTAGTAAACCAGTAACATGCTCAGATTATTTAATAAAGTGTGTAATTCCTCAACTATTGAAACAACATTTAGGTTGTCAGACAACATCTCAAAACAAAATGAACCCCTCCTTTGGTTAGTAAGCTGCTGCGTGGTGTTTCGGCTCGTTTTCAAGCTTTCTGCTCGTTCCCCAACAGACTGCTCGGGGAAGAAACCCCTGGAGGGCCCGCTGAAGGAGGAGCTGGAGGCGTCCCTGGCCATGGCGGAGCGTTTCACCCAGAAGTACAACAACATGCTGAAAAGGTTCGAGGAGCAGGTGTTCAACACCTCCTCCATCCTGGACACGCTCAACAAGCAGTTCAGCTGGGTGTCGTCTCTGGCGAACACCACCGAGGACGGCACCTTCCGAGTTAAGGCGGTGCGTTCGCTTTTTTCTTTGCAAGCAGACGAACGAACGCGCACGTGCACACGGAACACTCAGATAGTTCTTCGCATCTCCGTCGCAAAGTCATACAACTTCTCTTTTTTTTTTTAATATATCATATATGGAGAGCCATTTCATTCAAAATTAAATAAATAAATAGTGTTCTTTAAAAATTATTAATAAATATTCCAGTAAATAAATAAATGTTCCCATGAAATAAAACATTTAAATTAAAAAAAATGTTTATTTTATCTGATTTATTTTTTATTATTTCAAATATTCAATTTTATTTAATTCAAGAGTTATTTATTTATTTAATAATGGAGTTACATTTTGTGACATTTTTATTTTGTAAAGCTACTTTACATATTTCAGGGGCATTTATTTTTTTAATCCCGTTTTTCATTTTAAGCTCTTTTTATTTCATGTTCTTATATTCAAATGAGGGGGCGGGGTTTTCTCTTTGGGGCGGGTCTGATCAGGGTCAATGTATGGAGAGCAGTTTCATTCAAAATTAAGTTGCAAAATTAAAATTAAGTTACACATTACATGTTCATTTGAAATTTAAACGTTTTCAAGCGAACTGCTGAATCTTATATTCGTGTTTACTTTTTAAAGAACACATTTTTCATGTATAAAACTATTTTTTAAACCATTTGCTTTTATTTTTGTGCTTCCTTAAAGCCCTTCAAAAAAATAATCTTGTTGCAAATGGGCATTTTTGCTGCACTTTGGCGAGCCTTGTCGTCATCGTGCGTCTGTCCCTGATGAACGAATGACGCTGAATAAACGAACTCTGTAACAAAAGTCCTCGAGCTAGATGCAAAATAAGAACCTCACCATCAACGCACCTGAGCAAATATTAAATAAATAAATATTCTTCTATAAGGTACATCAAGAAAGTACAGCTTCATAAAACTGTTAATCCGTAGTCGGGTCGCAAAGCCTGTTAAAATAAATGTTTAATTTATATTTAGATCGAAAAGTCGCAGGTTCAACTCCCGGTACCGTCAACATCAAAATGCGGGTGGAAAAGGTGGAACACCCACACCTCCCTCCACCCTCATTCGCCCCACTCTGGGCCCCTGAGCAAGGCCCTTAACCCCCACCATCTGCTCCTACACAGGTCTCTCTTGAAAACGAGTTCTCGTGGCTCAGTGAGACTACCTGGATAAATAAGGGTAAAAAAAAATTGTATATATATATA